CGCCATAGACGAGGAAAACGAAGAAACAAAAATACAACAGCATATCGGGAAAAAAAATTTCAGATTAAAATATTTGTGCATCGCATATTTTTATACCTATTTTTTGGGAGGTGTGTGAATAGATTACTGCAGTTAAATCCATTATGTAAAAATATTTGTTCATCTGCAACTACCTATTCGTACACAGAATTATTTTTCATTATTCATCAAACCATTTTTTTTATTCATTTTTAAATTGATAATGATTATATTAACTGACTTCTTATCATTATCAGAGAGAGAAGTCGTCTTTATCCTATTTATTATTCTGTCCATGGATGGTTCCTTGGCGAAGATAACTTCTCTTACGAGTCGATGAAGGCATTCAAATGAGCTAGTAGAACAAAGTTTTTGAAATATACTAAGCCTTGCTGAGTAGTAAATCAATCAGCAAACTCGCTCCTTTGACATTGACATTTAAAAATTGACACTTAATATTTAAAAAAAGGAAAATATGATAAATTTAGTCGAGATGAAAAGTTTAACCTCGCTGATAAGCAAATGTCATTTGATGAATTTTATACGCTGAATTGCAGAAAATTGCATATATTTTGTATACATAAAAATTTCATTTCATTTTTATTGAAAATAAAATATATTTTAAAAATTTCTTTCTATAATATGGCTTCGTCATAGTTATTCGAGTAATATGTAAATATTACTTAATATTATAGTATTATTATTAATATTACCATGTTTTGCGGCCTTCGACCAAGATTACTACAGGCAGATTTCATGGCGAATCCAGTGAGGTTTCCCCAGATGGGAGAATATACCTCTGAAATATTTTACCTATCACCACAAGAAGTATATGGGGATGAGTGGATACTTATAATTCGATATTTCCTCTATGACTGACGAATTTACGTCTGATATGCAAGAGCAAAAGAGTTTCGCAAAATTTATGCTGATTTGAGGGTAATAAAGGCTAATCGAACGGTAGTTTTTGGAATGGCGCTCACATAGCCCTCCTTACCTTCCATTATTGTTTTTTTTGAACAAATGTTTTATTTCTTTTTCCTCTTATTTTTTTTTGACTTAGACTTGGGTCCAAGATGGAACTTTTATTATCGGTTATTTATTATCATCCATTTTAATGTGGTTTATTCTTTATTCCTCTAAATATTTCATCATAAAAGATACATGTCAAAGAGAACAATGTTGATTTTTGGTTGAGCTTGAGAGCCAAAGATGGAAACCTAGACGGATTATTTAGCTTTTTAGAGCGATAGGTAAATATATATTAATTTGAAAGAAATGGGCAAAAATGGTTGAGACTCGTAGAATCTCAATATATAATCTAATTGTTTCAACGTTTCAAGTTGATTTTTCAAAATCGCTCTAAAGTTCTCAGAGTTTTCATTAAGAGTCTGACGAGACAATATTGCCGTTTGAAAGCTCTTTATGGCTGACAATGGCCACAAGTTAAGCGGCATTTACTTCTCATTACAGTTGCATAAAATTATTTGTATCTTGTGCATTTGATAAATGAAAATGAAAATCGAATGGCTCTGTTTCAGTAATGCTTTCCTTCCAGAAGTCATTGTTCAACTGGTCTTCGCTGGTTGCGTTATTTTGTAAATATGAAGAAAAATAATCCGATCTTAACGAATATTTCATTATAAAATTAAACAATCACAAACAATTATGAATTATGAATAAATCGTGATTTTTAAGAAAACTCGAAATATGAATGCTAGCGCCCATTCTTGGCTTTGCCTTGCTCTGCTAGGTCAGACAAATTTTTGAAAAGAAATCACTTGAGAAATATCATATCATTAAGCACCACTCCAATTTTTGAAAGGCAACGCTTTTACTATGCGCAGCTGAAACAACGAATGTTGTTTGGAAATAAATTATAATCTAATCTACTAGGCTAATCTACCAACAAACTCGAGATTAAGACAAAGGCGGCTTTATATTTATGCAATAATAAGCAGTTTTTTACTCTTATTTTTAAGTTTTCTTTAAGAATTTCATTCCGATGTCATCAAAAAATTCGAATATTGCTTTTATTTTTTCCTGCAAGAATTTTGTATAATTTGTTAAAAAGTATATTTTTTCCTGTTTTTTAGGAATATTCATGGAACTCAAAAAAACTAAAATTTCTCCATTTTTTTTGTCGAATTTTTTTTAAATTAATGCCTATTCAATCGCCTAAATAATAGTTAACAACATTAGAGGAAGTAATTCATTTCTTGGCAACTATTTTTCATTATCATTAGTTATTATTATTGTCATTATTTTCATTGATATTTTTTGTCATTGTTATCATTGTTACTATTATTATCACTATTGTTTCTGCTATTAATTCGTTTTTTTACTATATTTATTTGTAAAACATTTATTTTAAATTAAATTTTTAGTTATTTCAAATTATCGTCCATTTTTTAGATTCACCCGTTTTGAGGCAATAAATTTGGGGATTATTCTTGAAATGATAAGAGATAATCGTCTTATTCAAGTCGCATCACCTTGGAATTTTTATCTCATTCCGCAACGTTTTGCATATTATATTATGTTAAAAAAATGACTGCTATCAGTGAATTCATTCTTCATCGTTCTTTAGCCTACTTCGCCCACCTACAATTGTAAGACACCAATGTGGTTAAACCAATAGCAATAAATGAATATAGCAATTTTTTTACATTACCCATCGTATTTGTTTTTATGTTGAAAATACCTCTGCTCTTTGATCAACAGTTTAAAAGAAGTTTTTTTGATCATTTTTATCATTATTATTAATAATATTACCATTCAATATTACCATTTATAATTTTTTTTGGCATTATGGCCTTTGATTATTCAGTATACATTAATAAACATTAATTTGTTAAAAGTATGAAAATATATTTAAATATGAAAAAATAGAAAAATTTTTTAAAATTTTTTCAAATTGTATCAAGGAGCGTAAAAAAATTTGAAAAAAATTTCGTCTAACTCTGACAAATCCAATAAATAATACTTAAAAATTTTATAAACTCATTGTTTATAGATGTTTATTCATTATTTGTTAAAAAATAAAAATATTAATAATTCGTCCATGAAACATATATATACTCAGTTTCATAAATGAGAAACAAGCACTAAGAAAGATCCAGCAAAGATGTTTGGTATTTCGTCTCTCCTGCTCGCCTTCATTATTGCTCGAGGTTTTCCTCCTTTTTCCTTTTTCTTTTTTTCTAATGGTGACCGATTTTGAACAATATTCAAAGCTAATTAAAACTAATGTTCACCTTTAGCAATTGGTTTTGCATGCGAGAAAAAATTCAAATATTACATGGATGATAGCGGTCGCGATCAGGTTATTGTCTCGATAAACGATTATCGCTCAAATGTCGCTAAAAGCCTAGGAAAAAATATCTATAAAGTCGAATACGACTGGGAACTAGAAGAAAATGCGGCCTATTCTTCACATAATTGTCATTTTACTGAAGGCCCATTTTATAATTTAAATGGGAAAGCAAAGTCAAACGACGGCTGCTGTGAAACCGAAAGTGGCTAGAAGATACCAAACTTCTGGTAAGGAACCTGGTAAGTCCAAAAATTCCTTTATAATTGGATATTTGGATTGAATAATTAAAAAGTTTTGTTATTCAGCGATAATCATGAAGGAAGCCACTGCATTATGGTGGGCTGAAGCAACGCCGTCGAAAAGCAATATTTTCTCAGTTGCTGATAAAGCTACAAAATCGAATTTCACCCAGGTCAGATTAGCGTTCATAGTCGTATTAATGCGTTAGTACGTCAAAAACTAGAATGAGAAAATAAAAAAGTGAGAAATTGAATTTTTTTAGCTTCCCTTTTTATATGAGTTAAGAGAAAAAGTTTAATATTCAGATGATTTGGGGAAAATCTACGAAAGTTGGATGTTCTATCAAACAAACTTGTAACGAAGACAATAGATTACATTCTCCGTTTTATGTTGATTACGTTGTTTGCCTCTTCAAAGAAAGGTAAGCACTGTAATTTTTTTATCAGTTCATCTATTGATATATATATAGACTGATACACTGATATTAATACACTGCAAAATGCCATCGCTGATTATGGAATTACATTCTCCGGCTAGTAGTTCTTTTTCGAAAAAACGGGTAATGCTCACGATTCACCCATATTGCCACCAAATGGCAAGGTTTGCTTGTTTCAACACGGCGACCCAACCAGGAATGACGACGAATATTCTAAGAAAAAAAAACATGATAGGTGTACCTTTAATCACTTCGAGCGTGAATTTTGCCAAGATTTTTTTGCATCGATGAAGTATAAATGATTTTATTATGTCATAAAAAATTTTTTATTCATCCAATTTGCTTAGCTAAACTTTAAAAATCATTACTTGAAAAATTTAGTGGAAATAAAGTCGGTGAACCAATCTATGACATTGGCAATGGATGCAACAGTGACAACGATTGTACTGCATTTAGCAATTCGCGCTGTGATAGAAGCACAAGTCTTTGCGAACTGTAAGAATCGGAATTGTTTAAAACAAATTTCGATCTTCGATCATCGAAATTATTTAAATTATTTTTTCGTATAGCAAATGGCTTAATTATTATCGAATTGGGAAATAAAAAATTGACTGTGATAGAAGTACAAGTCTTTGCGAACTGTAAGATTCGGAATTGTTTAAAACAAATTTCGATCTTCGATCATCGAAATTATTTAAATTATTTTTTCGTATAGCAAATGGCTTAATTATTATCGAATTGGGAAATAAAAAATTGACCAAAATTCTTATAAAAATATAAATCACTACTACTGCGTTTCAAAAATAATTTCTTTAAAGCGGCAACAAGATTGGCGAGGACGTTTACGAGACCGGTCTTGGTTGTTCATCGGATTCAGAGTGCACGCAGATCCCCAATTCAAAGTGCAACACAGATAGAAAATTGTGCGTTGCAGCGTAAGTTTCTGCTTCTCCTATTTTTACCAAGCTTTAATAAGTTTCAAATGCCGGTGAAATTTACCAGGTTCCTTTAAGTGAGATAAACTAGTAGGATTTATTGGGCGCAACAAGCAACTAGGTCGAGGTTAATGGTGAGCACTTCATTATTGTCAGTAAATCCGATTAAAAAATGATTAAATTTATAAGAGATAAGCAATTTTTTCATGAAATATATACGAAAATTTATATGGGTGATAATTTATATTAGCCAAAAAGCTATTTAAAATATTTTTGTCTCTTCATTAATTTTATTTATAGATGAAATGGTGGAGAAAATCCGACGAAATATAAATCATTGCGAAACAAAATTCAATTGAAAAAATGAATGAATTTATTGAAAAATTTTTAAATGAAACTTTTCATTGGAAAATTTTTTATGATAAATAAGAATAAAAATTTATTGAATTTCCTCTTAGTTATACATAAAACTAAATTGAAAAATAAACTTCCACGTTAACTTCTTTTAATTTGTTATTTAATTAGTTTTTTTCAAAATCCATGGAACTTTGCCAGAAGAATTAAAAAGAATTGAAAAGGCTCGGTTGGAATCAAAAATCTGACTTACTATATCTTCCTCCTTCTCCACCTCCTCCATCAGGAGAAAACCTGGTTATTTATCAATATACTTGCATATGAACTCAGTTGCAATCCTTTCCTTGCAGCGGTATTATTGTGTTTCTTCTGCAGCTAATTGATAATGAATTAACTAAACAGATGGTCAGCAATCAAAACCTTCAATGAAGCAGTGATGAGCATTCGTATATTCTTCTCAAGCAGTACGAAATAAACATACATATTGAGAAATGTATCATTCAGAAATAAACCCCGCAGTTACTGAATGAGTCTCAGTTGAAAATTCTAGGCTTATAATGTCTTATAATGACCGTGATGACTCCCTCATTTGGAGCATCCATCCGCCAATCGGTGTTCTGAATTCAAAGAGGAAGGAGGATTTCTACAATTAAAGCAGCTATTCTTTGTTATGCAGTTTATTTAGCCATGTTTGAGGATAAGACTTCTAGTTGTACAGCGTCTCACACCTTTCATCTTACTATCTGTTCAAAGGATATGAACAAAATAAAATTTGCATGGCAAGCGACATTTCATACAAATGACAAATCATAACCAATGATAAATAACAACATACATGTTATATATATATTATGTAATAAAAACATGTTATATATTATATATTATAATAATCAAATTTTTAACTGGTTTTTAATCATTCTGATAAGGTCTGATAAATATGATAACGGAAGGATGTACCCAAATAGAATTTATGCCTTTTGCCTCATTAAAATTCATCAGAAATTTTGTAATATTTGAGTTCATATCATGGAATTTTCTATAATTTTCTATAATTTTAAATTTTCTATAATTTCTTTATAAAAAATTTTATTAAAATTTTAATAATAATAAAATTATATAATTTTCTTTTATATACTTTATAAAATTTCATTATTATTATTCTATTGTTTCTTATCTTTGTTTCAACTAATTAAACCTGCAGATCTAAAGAACCAACTAGACAATTCCTTTTCTTCTAATTACACTCACCATTTTCCTCATCGCTAGCGTATTTAGCCATAAGGACTATATATTTAGCTATAAGGATTCTTGGGGTCCGAAGGATCCCAAGAATCGCTCCGACGTTTTTAATTAATTGATTCATTTTGGAAAATTCCTCAAAAATTTTGTTTATAAAGTATAGCCTTAATTATTTGTTTGACATTTACGAAAAGCAAAAACAAAAAAATTGCTGAAAAAATGATAAACATTCTAAAATATTCACCAAGCCTAAGCCTATAAAGTGTTCACCAAACCTGAGACTATAGAAGACATATTATATTATTAATATATTATATAACAGACCTATTATATTATATATTAAAGCAAAAATTATTTAAGGATTGATTATTTTAATAATCAATATTTATTTAAAAAAGGTCTATAAAGGTTTATATAAATAAGTGTATAATTTATATTTCAAAGTACTCCTATCGAATATATTTTCATCGCATCAACCATTACGAAAATAAGAAAACTTACCAAAAGCTGGGATGCTTCGTTCGAATTTTCCCGAACTACAACTAGCATGCAGTGATTTGTTAATTTCGGGTAATTTCCAACCCAACACAATTCCTAAAACATAGAATTTGCAGATGATTATTCATAATTTATTTAAAAAGTTTTGCAATATAAATTTAAAATTTAATAAATTTTTGATTTGCAAATATAAAATTTATTTATAAAATTTGTAAAAATGAATTTCTGAAAACTTTAATTTGAATTAAACCTAAAAAAACATCGAGAAAAGTACCACTTTGCTATCCAATAAAATATCGCATTTTAAAGGATTCACAATATATATAATGGTTTCTATCAATATGCATGTTTCACCATTCGTATTCTTTCTCCGAATAAATCTGTTATTAGTGGTACTTGGCGAATTCCATTGCCTATCAACAAGTGAAATCTGGCAAAAAAATTTTTAACCACAAATAAAATTTTTAATCTAATTTCTCCAGAATTTTGATAAGCTGAGCAAACCTAAACTAAATATAATAAATCGGGCCGTGAAAAAAAACATGGTGGCTGCAACCGTAAATATTCGAAGGAACTGTGAAGTCTGAAGCTGCGACCGATTGTAAGAGTATTCTTTTTCAAATTTAAAATATATTTTAAATTTTTTGAATTATTTTAATAATATATATTATATATTTTATTATATATTTTAAATTTTAATTTTGGTATTAGGCTTAGACGCCGATGTTTAGAGAAGTCGGGCAAAGATCTACACTTTGCCCGCTAATAGCGCTATAAAAACTCGCAAACGATCACTC